AATAAACATAGCTGGACTGAATTTGCATGGTCTCTTGGAGGTCCTTGGGCTAGGCCTGACATCAATCTTCCCAGTGTTTATTTCCCTGAGCCTGGCCTTCATAATTCCATTCCATCACATAAATACATAAATGGTTTAAATAAATAGAAAAGGCAGCAATTTCCAGGAATTGGGAAACATCTTTTCTAGCTGGATTCTGGAAACTCAAGCCACAGTGTTATGGACTGAACTTCAGAGGTGTTTAGATCTTATGTGCCTACTTCAGAGAAAACCTCTTACATCTACCATTCTTACCTAGAAGACATGTGGGGCAATTCATGGTTGATGAATCAGATTCTAGGAAAGAGTGGATTGCTAGACTGCATTCTCACTTCTTTACTCTAATAGCTCAGCTATGCGAAGTCATCCTGGTATATAGTCTCACTGTGATAGTGTGGGACCATGCAAGTTGTGTAGGATTTAGTGTAGGTAATGCTCCTTTCCGTTCAAGTCATTTTTCTCAGCTTTTTAACGACTTCTACAAAGCATTTGGGGGCGTGATTTTCGCAAGGATAGAAAAATACATGTTTGAATGTCCCAGTCTGTTTCAGATTCAGGAACACACTACCCCTCAATTCCCTTGATTTTTCTAGAGTGGAACATACACCAAGTTATTTCTGAGGCAAAGGAGCAAGATCCCATGAAAGCCATGAGGACCAAAATGGTTAGTCTTAAATGTATTACAAGACTCCTTATTGGGTTTGCTGCAAGAGACAGGCACAGTGACCCCCCCCCCGCCCCCCAAACTGCTCCAGGTTGCAGAATGATTTTTATTTTCAGCAAATTGGTCATGGTATGTTCAAGAGGAGGGAACTATTTTTTAATCCTTTTCCTTTGATGGTCCCTTTTCTAGGTAGCTGCTATTGTCTCTGGGTGAAGAAATACACATTGGATCAACCAACTACATTTTATTAAATGAATATATTTCCTTTTGATTTAATTTCAGGATTGGGTAATTTCAAAGGTTATCTCTGCTGGCACCACAGGCACAGGGTAATCAAACATGTTCACCTCCGCTTCACGGAGTTTTTAAACCTGTTTTCATGTGTTGTCTGTGATGGCCAAGTAGAAGGATGAAAGAATCTTACATCTTCTCAGGTAGATACAGGACCAGACATCATTCCAGAGGAACTGTGTGGTCCTTTATTGGCCTCATGCCCCCATGGGCTGGCCCTGGATGGAACTGTTGCATTCTGTGGGCAACTTTGCCATCTGAGGTGTTCTTCGTCATCCACCCACAGGGTTACCTGCAAGAAAATTAAAATTTTAGGAAGGATAAGAGACCATTTTTAAGACTTGAAAAACAGATGTTGAGTACTTGGGAGGGAATGTCCTAAAAATACAAAACATCTGTGCTGTTTTGGGTCCATGAAACTTTCTATTTTTTTGTCTCTTAATCCCTTCTCAAATTTCCATTGTTTATTTCCCTCTCTGCTGTGACACCTTCCTGCCTCCTCTACTTTCTCTTATTTCAGGAAATACTTAATATTCCTCGCTATTACCAGCCTTTTAGAAATGTGCAGATGTTAGGCATTTTGGTCCCCCTTGGCTTGGTTCATGAATTGTGCTTTGGCATTTCCTTAATATAAATTAATGGATGGGATGGGAATATTTAAAAAATGCTATTATTGCCTTTGCCTCTGATGTGAACTCATTTGGAGGTGGTTGTGTTTTTTTTCCCCATTGTTGCCATATTTATGTGTTTGCTTTTCATTTTTGAAAATGTGACTTAGGAGAGTAGTATGCATTGAATGGGTGATGAAACTTCCTTTTTCTTTTCTTTTAGATTTTAGGGAAATGGGAGAGTGGAAAAGAAAAAAACCCTAAAACTGTCCTGTTTCTCTTCAACATGGTCCACTAATACATTCTTGGTTAGCTATCTTCTCCCTTCCTTGACCACTCAGAAACTGAAAAGTCTCCCAATCTTTCTTCACCTTCTTATTTTTACAAAGACCTTTCAGAAAATCTGTGATACTCTGTTCTTCCTAAATAGACGCCAGTGTCTCTGAAAATGCTTAACTAGATACCATAAGCTTGTGCTTATGGACTTAAGGGGTAGAATATAAGGACATATCCTGGATTTTCAGAAGAACTGTATGGTTATGTGGCTTCCAAGTGACCGGAAAACTCTTGAATGTTGGAGCATAGCTAGAGAAGAGGAAAGACTAATGAAGTTATTGATGAGAGAGCACATGAGAAAAAGAGAAGGCCATTGATGTCTTGTAAGACTCTGACCTGGCAATGGCTGTTGGATAAGTGATGATAATACATTCGGACAGTATGGTAATTGAAAACAGAACTGTTATTTGTCAAGAGAAGGAAGAGAGGAGGAAGTGCATCTCCATAGAGACTTGCATCTGTTCAACCAAGCATTGCATTGTTTCCCAACCATGTTCTGTGAGTGACTCAGTGCTTTGTTTTTTCTCCTTGTCAAGAAGCTCTGGCTTTTCAATGCCCCATTTCAGCTGGTTCCCTAGAGTCAAGTGACCTGTTTTCTGAAAATTAAGGCAAAAAGAAGGAAATCTTGGCCCCTGCAACTTCCTTGAGTCCAGGCAAAGATTCTACCTATTGCTTTGATGCAAAATACATTCCTCTTGATATTTCTTCTTCCACGGATGAGAAGAGAATATCAGTGATTTTTTCTTTTTAAATGGGAGAGATGCAAAGTTCTTGTGTGCATGTCCCTTTGAGTCATTTCTGACTCCCGGCAACTGCCTGGACTTGTCCCTGCAGTTTTCTTGGCAAGATTTCAGAAGTGGCTTGCCCTTGCCTTCTTCCTCCTAGGGCTGAGAGAGAGGAACTGGCTCAAGGTTGCCCAACTGGCTCTGTGCCTAAGGCGGGTCAAGAACTCATGGTCTCCTGGGTCTGATGTCTTAACCACTATACCTAACTGGCTTTCCATTTAATGATATCTCAAGGGAAAAGCAATGGCGTTTGCTTTTGGTTCCCAAATTATTAGTTGGAAAAGTAACATGCCCCCAGGGTCTCTTCCTGTTCTCTCTCTTTGATAACATGGCTGTTGCCAGCTTACAGCAGTTGAAGGATGATGGAAAGAGGATTCTAGCACAGTTAATAGACTTTTCCTTTCTTTCTGCATATAATCCCTCTGGTGGATCTTGCAGCTTCTTTGGCTTTCCATGCTTCTATTAATTCCCAAGGTAGAATTTATCCAAATGAAACTCTTTGGGGCTTTTTCAGACCAGAAAACAGAACCAGTCAGGAAGGCTGTAGAGTGTGATGGAGCAGAGTCGTGACACTGTTCTTGGCTGTCTTGTGGCAATACAGTAAGCTCAGAACTATTGCAGGAATAAATTCTAGCATGTTGAGAAGGAAGGAAGGAAGGAAGGAAGGAAGGAAGGAAGGAAGGAAGGAAGGAAGGAAAGGTAGCAAGAGGAAGGAAGGAAGGAAGGAAGGAAGGAAAGGTAGCAAGAGGAAGGAAGGAAGGAAGGAAGGAAGGAAAGGTAGCAAGAGGAAGGAAGGAAGGAAGGAAGGAAGGAAAGGTAGCAAGAGGAAGGAAGGAAGGAAGGAAGGAAGGAAAGGTAGCAAGAGGAAGGAAGGAAGGAAGGAAGGAAGGAAAGGTAGCAAGAGGAAGGAAGGAAGGAAGGAAGGAAGGAAAGGTAGCAAGAGGAAGGAAGGAAGGAAGGAAGGAAGGAAAGGTAGCAAGAGGAAGGAAGGAAGGAAGGAAGGAAGGAAAGGTAGCAAGAGGAAGGAAGGAAGGAAGGAAGGAAGGAAGGAAGGAAGGAAGGAAGGAAGGAAGGAATTTCATAAAGAGAAGGAAGTTTGTTTTTTTTTTAAATTGGAGGACCCATTTGGCCTAGTATTAATTTTATATCTTTTTATTCCCACCCCCAGCAGAGATTTTCCAGTTTGCCTTACCTTTAGCTTGAGTTAAAGATTCAGGTTGCTCCTTATCCTTTTTACAGCAGAAGCAGCAGCAGGTTCTAATTTTTGCTGCCACATACCTGCAGGCTAGAAGCCACAGAAAGGAAAAAAGTAAGGAGAAATAGCAACACCCAGGTTCATCTAACCTGAACAAATAAAAATATATGGTAAAGATTTTGTCTGCAAGGATATGTCATGTCTACAACTCCTAGCACTTTCAGCCAACAGACCTACTAGCTCTAGGATTATGAGAGCTGGGCATTTGAATGGGTCTGTAAATTCTTCAACTAAATTAATTTCACTGGAGGAGGGCAGTCGTGGCATTCATGTTTAGAAGAGGCCAAAATAGCAGAATGCTGTTTTCAGAATGCTGTCATATATAACGTAACGTGTAAAGCAAGAGTCTAGTGCAAAAGAAAGCCTAAAAGAAGGGTTAATCACAGTGCCGAGATAATTCAACTGACATTTAATCCATTTTGCATAAAAACATCAGCTGTGCTCAGCTGGATCAGATCCAGTCCAGCAGTCTGTTCTCAAGTCTAATTGCACAAGGATGCCTCCTCAGCTTGCAACAGATGGCCTTCAGAAGCAGTCCCACGGCCATCAAGGCTAACAGCCATTGATCCCAGGACTTCCATGAATTGGCCCAACCCTTTTTTGAAGCCAGCTAAGCTGGTGGCCAGCACCACTTCTATTTCATCTGATTCTCTACAGAAATAGTGTATGCCGTGTACCAGATGGACAATCTCAGTTATTAAGAATCAGTTGATCTCTAAGATTTGGCAGAAAGTAGCTTGTGATAATAAAAAGCTGGAGGGGAGGGAGCAGAGAGCTAGCTGATCATTTTTCTTATTTATATAGGAAGTCTTTTCTGATGTATTTTAATTCATACTTATTCTATTTTAACTAATGCTTATTCTTTTTGCTGTAAACCTCCCAGGCTTGCTCTGCAGTGAGATGGGCAATGACAAATTTGAAAAATAAATAAATAAATAGATTTTTCCATGCAGAAATAGAGCGAAGTAGAATGCTTTCTCTTTAACAGTTGAGCATCCTTTGAAAAAAAATGTTACTGGGTGAGGAATCCTATCTTGATTGCTGAGCACCGAACACACAGAGGTCTCCAAATGTTATTCCAGGCAACCGCAGCTTAAAGGATTAGCTAAAGCAATAATTGAGAAAGTCCTTCATTCGTCTGAGGTTCTGCAGATCTGCTGCTCAATAGCAGACATTCTGGGATAGGTCAAATAATTTGATCTGATCTAAGAGCTCTTTTCTTTCCTGCACTTGAGGAAGAATGCCACTCCAGTGTACAGTCTTTATCAGCTAATCTGTAGTCTATGAACCTTTGGACCTTAATATTTTGCACTTGGCCATGCTGTTTAGAGTTGATGACAACTGATCTTGAAAGCATTTGCAGGCCACCAGCTGCCTCCATGCAAATGGGAGAGGAATTGGTTAAAGATTTAAAACCAGCTTTGAGGTTAGATCCTGTTTATATTATCGTTTTGCTTGGATTTCCAGCTATATGACACACAGTGATTCATCTCCACCCATGCCAGAATGAGAAACAGAGTCCTTACTTCCCTGAACATCAGACAGCAACCCAACACAATACGTAGGAGAGGCAAGGCAAGAAAAGTAGCTCCAGAGCAAGAAAAATTAGTAATGTAAATACTTGTGGATGGGTGTATGTAGGGGTGGGGGTGAATCCTAGAGTTGGAAGGGCTCGTTGAATCCCACCCCCTGTGCTCTGGGGAGGAAACCAAATTAAAGCATCCTGTCCAGCAAAAGGATTTAATCACCACCCTCAGTTATGAGGAAAAGCCCCCTTGAGACTGAAAGTTGACTTTAAGTAAAGTTGCTCTTGCTTACCACTGGAGATAACTCAGGCCATGTTTCTAAGGGTGGGAGAAGGGGTTCCCCAGTCCTCCCAATTGCGGGTTCACTGTGTGCCTCCTTCTCCTCTCTTCTCCTCTTCGAGGTCCCCAGCACCTTTGCACCAAGGACTTGCTACGACTGATTTCCTTCTGCAAAAGTCTATGCAACTTTCCCTCCGGGGTGTTGCCCAGAAACTCAGTCACGTGGGTGTCATAGTGGCAAGTAGGAAAGCTGCTTTGTGACTCAGGCAGTTGTTCTGTTTGCTTCACAATAGTGCAAGAAGAGGAAATGGATCAGATATCTCTGAACTTCAATGCACTAGAGTGGAAAGTTCAGTGCTCATAAAGCCATTACAAACAGGTATTTGTTTTGTTCTGCATTGCTTGAGGGGATAAGAGTTCCTGCAGCAGTTTTAAAAACAACTCACCACCATCTCAACCCTAGCTTATTTTCTCTGTAGCTGGAGTCTCCCTTATCCCCTTTCCCAAGGCAAGGGAGACATAGTCTCCCTGGAGCCACGTTGAATCCTGAGTGTGTCTACGTGAGAGGCAGAATGTAGCTTTATAATTTTGTTTGAGTCCAACTGAATAGACCCCCCGTGTAAGTGCTCTGAGAAGCTTGCAGGGAGGTGGGAAATACAACCCAAGTGTGAGAGTTGGAGCCGGAAATCCAGGACAGGCTACAAGTAGAATGAACAGTGCTGTAATGAAGAGCCAATTGAAGGGGCAACGTGAGGCCTACAAGCAGTCCTTCTGCTTAACTTTTAGGCCATACAGAGAAATACCCTTGCATCCCTAGCTTGTTAGAAACCTTCAAATCTCTCTCTTTCTGTAGTGGCTTGGTTCTGAAATAGAGTATCTTATCTAGTCAGCTCCAGATTTCCTGGAAGGGCCCTCTCTCTGTCACTTTCTGAGGGTAGATCTGCATATCCTGAAGAAGGGATCCAATCACAAATGCATTGCAGGTCTATTCTAGTACTTCCAGCTTCCGAAGAGATGGAGTGGTAGTCATCAACGTCAGGATAATGCTTCATTTATTTTTTTCCCCCCAGTCTGCAGGTGCTGGGGAGGGTTTTTGGAAGAATAGAGGGTTGGGTGGCATTTTGTCTGGATGTGGAATTTGCAAACAAAGTCAGAGTTGTCTGACTGCGCATAAAGGTGAGGGATGTGTGTACATAAACCCCACATGACATAAATCTATACCTTCCTCTCATCATGACCTGCACATTTCCACCCTAGCAAAGTCTATTTGCTTTGCTCCTGGACTGTCCCTTGGGTTTGAGAACCACAGCCAACTTTCTCCCCACCCTTCTTCGTCACTTTGGACCAAAAAAAAAAAAGTATAAATGATCATCCTTTTGTTCCAGATCTCTGCTGCTGCTGAATTGCTTTTGTGAATTTGGTTTCACACAGTGCAGTCTCCAGAGACATTTGTTTATGGCAGGCAATGTTCATGGTACCCATGGGTAAAACTTGGCGTCAAGAGCTGCTAAACGTAGTGCTGATTTGCACAAGGTTTTAATCTGCCTTGAGACAGTCAAGGCAACCGTAGCGTGCCCCTACCTGGAAACACAGCAAAGAGGACAGGTTTGAAAATTCAGGAATATAACAGAGAAGAATAGGGACAGGAATAGGTCTATGACTTATTGAAAACTGCCTGTTGTAAAACCAGTCATTACCTTGTGGTGCTGAGGCTGGCCTATTTCTTGGTTCAGATTTCTACAGCACTCATTGATCTTTGTTTTTAAAGATTGTCCTATCCCACTTTACCAGTTTGCAAAAAGGTAGATAAAATCTCTGCAGAAGAGAAGAAGCTCTATCTAGTTTTTCTGCCTATGTCTTCAGATATAATTACCTCTTTTGGGAAAGCGACTGTTATCCCCAGCCTCCTAGTTCTGGTTACTCCCTTGTGATTCAGATTTGAGAGAAAATAGTGTTTGAAGTTTGGGAAACACTAGTACGTGTTTAAACACAGCAGGGTGTTTCAAGCATCGGCTGACATCATAGAATATTTTCAGTTACTAAAGTTTGCGACCAAGTGTTAAGAAAAAAAAAAAACACCGAAATTTTGAGGGTGTCATAGAGATGTAACTGAGATGTAACACAGAGATGTATCTGAAACTGTAACTTTGCAACTGTTTCTTAAACTGGGAGAAGAACAGATGGAATGATCAACAAAATGCTTCTTAAATGCACGAGATACAGCTCTTGATTCTAAAGGTCTTTACTCAAGAGAAAGCATAGGGTCCATACTGGGAATCAGGACCCCATAAATGATAAGGAAATGTAATGCCTCTTCCACCCAATATAGGTAGTCCACTGAGATCAATTTAGGGCTAAAAGAAACCTGAAGGGACATCCCATGTTAAGTTCCCACAAAGGGTTTGGGCATTATGTATTCACACGGCATTGAATCATTGGAGGTTTCCTTCTGAAGGGGCCATTTTGAACAGGTCTGCACGCGAGTATCTTTTGCTGTATTGAGTTGTACTCCAGACCTGGAAAGCAGATCAACTTGGATAATCACGGTGGTGGCCAGAGAAATTTAACCTTGCCCTGTCCAAAAATCATGCCTGTATCTATTTCACAGACATCTTTCCTGTTGGTGTATATCTTTTGCTTAGGAGCCATCAGCCTGATATTAGCCAGAACTGTGGTCTTTTCATTCCATGGGAACAAAGAGGGACTTTGACTTCAGACTCAATTGAAGTCATCTCGCTGGGAATTGAGATGGACCCGGCGAAAGTAAAGGATGTCCTGGGCTGGGAAGCGCCGCGAACCCGGAGGCAACTCCAAAGCTTCCTAGGGTTTGCGAACTTCTATAGACAGTTTATCCCGAACTTCGCCCAAATCGCCCTTCCCCTAACCGACCTGCTGAAGACCAAGGGCACTGGGAAACCCCCCAAGCCCAGCATGGCACTTGCGTGGACTGCAGAATGCCAGGGGGCGTTTGAGGAGCTAAAACGGCGGTTCACAGCGGAGCCGATCCTGCGCCATCCCGACCCAGACCGGCGGTTTATAATCCAAGTGGATGCATCAGACGTGGC